TCCAAATACAAAGGCATCAACATTCATAAAAGAAACATTATTAAAACTCAAATCACAAATTAGACCTCAAACAATTATAGTGGGAAACTTCAACACCACACTCTCACCACTAGACAGGACCACCAGACAGAAACATAACAGAGACAAATGAACTAACAGAAGTTATGACACAATTGGGATTGACAGACATCTATAGAACATTCCATCCAAACACAAAAGATTATACCTTCTTTTCAGCACCACATGGAATCTTCTCTAAAACTGACTACATACTCAGCAACATAGCAAATCTTAACAGGTACAAAAAAATGGAAAAACCCAATGTGTCTTATCAGACCACCATGCTTTAAAGTTGGAATTCAACACCAACACAAATTGCAGAAAACCTACAAACTCATGGATGAACAATGCACAAATGCACCATTCCTGGGTCAAAGAAGAAAGACATTAAAGACTTCTTAGAATTCAATGAAAATGAAGACACAACATACCCCAAACTTATGGGATACTTTGAAAGCACTACTAAGAGGAAAGTTCATAGTTCTAAGTGCTCACATGAAGAAAGAAGATAATAGTCACACCAGAGTACTGACAGCACAACTGAAAGCTCAAGAACAAACAAAAGCAAATTTCACCCCGGAAGAGTAGATGCCAAGAAATAATCAAATTGAGGGCAGAAATCACTAAAGTAGAAACAAAGAAAACAATACAATCAATCAATTTAACAAACAGTTGGTTCTTTGAGAAAATCAACAAGATAGACAAACCTTTATGTAAACTAACCAAAATGCAGGGCTAGAACATGCAAATTTACAAAATCAGAAATGAAAAGGGGACATAATAACAGACACTGAGGAAATACAGGGATTATTCAGGTCATACTTGAAAAACCTGTACTCCACAAAATTCAAAAATTTGAAGGAAATGAACAATTTTCTGGATAGATATCACTTACCAAAATTGAATCAAGAACAGATAAGCAACTTAAACAGAACTATAAGCACAAAAGAAACAGAAGAAGTCAACTAAAGTCTCCCAAGCCAAAAAATCCCAGCGCCCAATGGCTTCAGTGCAGAATTCTACAAGAAATTCAAAGAAGAGCTAATACCAATACTCCTCAAATTGTTCCACAAAATAGAAGCAGAAGGTTCATTGCCAAACTCTTTTTATGGTGCTATAATTACCTTGGTACCCAAGCCACACAAAGACACAAGTAAGAAAGAGAACTACAGACCAATATCCCTCATGAACATTGATGCAAAAATATTCACAAAATACTGGCAAATCTATCCAAGAACACATGAGAAAAATCATGCACCATGATCAAGTAGGCTTCATCCCAGGGATGCGGGGTTGGTTCAACATTAGAAAATCTATCAATGTAGTCTACCATATAAACAAACTGAAGTAGAAAAACCACATGATCATCTCACTAGATGCTGAACACAAAACCCAACACCCCTTCATGATAAAGGTGTTAGAGAGATCAGGTGTATCAAGAACATACCTGAACATAATAAAAACAATATAAAATAAACAAATAGCAAAAATTAAACAAAATGGAGAGAAACACAATGGGATCCATCTAAAATCAGGAACAAGACAGGGCTGTCCACTCTCTCCGTATCTCTTCAATATTGTAAATATTGTTCTAGTTAGAGCAATTAGACAACAAGAGTAGATCAAGGTGATACAAATTGGAAAGGAAGAAGTCAAACTTTCACTATTTGCAGATGATATGATAGTCTACATAAGTGAACCAAAAAACTCTACCAGGGAAATCCTACAGCTGATAAACACCTTCAGCAAAGTGGCAGGATACAAGATTAAGTCAAAAATCTGTAGCCCTACTATATATAGATGATAAATGTGCTGAGAAAGAAATCAAAGAAAAATCACCCTTTATAATTGCCACAAACAACATAAAATACCTTGGGTTAACACTAACAAAAAAAGTGAAAGACCTGTATCATAAGAATTTTGAGTCTTTAAAGAAAGAAATTAAAGAAGATACCAGAAAATGGAAGGATCTCCCATGCTCGTGGATTGGTAGGATCAACATAGTAAAAATGGCAATCTTGCCAAAAGCAATCTACAGATTCAATGCAATCCCCATCAAAATCCCAATACAATCCTTCACAGACCTTGAAAAAGCAATTCTCAACTTTATATGGAAAAACAAAAGACCCAGGATAGACAGTTGCATAGAGGGAGGAGTGATGAGCAAAGGGGTCAAAACCAGGCTGGGGAAACCCTCAGAAATAGCTGACCTGAAGAAGGGGGAGCTCGTGGACCCCAGACTGATTACTGGGAATCCAACATTTTTCTCATCCAGACCCCACAAATGGTCAGTGAGGAGGCCTAAGAAATCTATGGGGCCTTTGGTAGTGGATCACTACTTATCCCTAGCATAGGAATGGATTTTGTGAACCTATTCCATATAGAGGGATACTCTCTCAGCCTAGACACATGGGGGAGGGCCTAGGCCCTCTCCAAAAGGATATCATAGCCTCTGAAGATTCTCCCATGGAAGGCCTCACACTCCCTGGAGTGCAGAAGGGGCATGGCAGGAGGTTGGTGCGGGGCCAGGGAAGATCGGAGGGAAAGGGAACTGAGATTGACATGTAAAACAATCTTGTTTCTAATTTAAATAAAATGGACAAAAACCAATACTAACCTTGTGATTATAGAAAGAAAATTGTGTGTTTCTTACTGACTTAGACATTTGCTCGGTCAAGCAAATTAATATGCATTAGGATGGGCAGAAATGTCATATATGTTCTGATGCACTTTCTGAACCACATTTTGTTACTTCAGATTCAGCAGACCTAAGACAAATATAATTGTGAATTTTAGTGTAGGTATTTCTTTACAGAAGCTCTCCATCTGATTTTCTTATTTCAGACCTACTTTAAGGTACAACTAATCTTGCTTCAGTACTCCTCACTGCATTTCAAGCTAATTCTTTCTTACTAAAGAAGGTCTTTCAATAGTCTTTTTATTAATTAAACTTGCTTTTAGACAGTTTTTCATGTGAGCAATGCACATTCATGACTCCCACCTTTATCTCCTTATCACTCCTGTGAGTAGTTCTTCTTCCCACAAATTTCCTTCACACATTCATACTATTCCCTTTGTTTTGTGACTAACCATAGGGCATGTAACTCCTCCCAGATCTATTCCCAACTCACTACCTACCCAACTTCATATTCTTTTTTGTTTTTCCCAAACTAATGAGTTGAATATACTGAATTGGCTTTGGGGCTACCTCCTAGAGTGCAGTAAAGTTACTATGAATTATACCCTTAAAGAAAACTGACTCATTATTTCAGGAGTTATCAATGGCCAATTTTCCTTGCCTAGGGACTTTGTCCCCACTTTTGCTCTCCATGCTCTGATTTTCTTTGACTAGAGTTTATTGAGCATGCTGTCACAACCACTGGGAGATCATATGTGTAACTCTCATATTGGTTCAGAAAATACCATTTTATTATAGTCATCCACCAGCTCTGGCTTTCACATAGCTTTCTATCTCCTCTTATTCCAAGAGTCTTGAGTCTAGAATGTAAATAGGATGTAAATATACTATGTATGGCTAAGTATTCTACAGTTTCTTATTTTCCACATGAAGAAAGGTTACAGGTCTTACCGTGTATCCATATCTCTTGCAAAAAGAAGGTTCTATATGAGGACTGGGAGATGTACTAGTCTGCGGTTAGAGCCATAAGTCATTAGTAATCCATTTCACAATACTAGTAAGGTCTCTCATAGAGCCTATGATGTGTCTAGTGACAGGATTTTGGCCCTAATATTGGTGTAATGTATAGGGTCCATCTTGTGGAGTGGTTGGTAATCCAATCAGAAAGTGTTTGGTTATTCTCTGTAACATCTGTGCCAATATTTCACCAATGGGTATATGTTGCTAGGCCAGTCATTATGGGATCCTGTAGGGTCCAAAGCTGGGTAAGACTGCTGACTAATTTTCTCTTCTGTATCTTTCACAGCACCTCCCAGCACTCTCAATGCCCTAGGTGTTGTGTGCATTTCTCCCAGAAGTCAAAAACATTTAAACAAAAGCAAAACAAGTTGGTAAGTTTTAAAAAAATACCATGGTATTCCATGTAGGCTTATTTGATTAGGCATTAGTACGGAAACTGTAAGTTTTCTTTAGCACCATGTAATCATTACTGTAAAATGGACCATTGGTGCTAAACAATAGGTCATTTTTCATGTACTTGCCAAATTGTTCACAACCTTATTTATCCTAGCACCTTAAACTGTGTGAGGGGTTCAAGGCAGAGATATTTGTACTTTCACATTCATTTCATAAAAAAATGTTAATTTAAAACATCTAACCAAATTCTTACCCATGCTGTTGTAAACGGTACTAATGGAACTTATTGGTCCCAATGAGTTAAAAAAAGACAAATATAAAAGTCATGAAAGGAAGGGCTATCTAAGGAAATGGAGGAGATTTATAGGAATGAGGGATGAATAGAGATGGCAGCTGAAGGAAAATGTGATAAATATGCATTATGTATATGTAGGAAATGTCACAAAGCAGCTCATTATATATAATTAAAATATGATAAAAATAAACACAAGCAAGGTCTTGCGTGTCTTATTTGTGTATGATAACCTATCTCCCATCGAGATGTGGAAAAATCTGTAGCTCTCTGTTGAGAATTGTAGACAAAATGAGAAACAAAGGAGGGGAATTGTATATTAACATTCAAATATTTTAGCTA